GTTTTCGACTTTCGCTGCGTTTAAGTCACGTGTTTTCTTTGAGCTTCTGTATTACAGAGTTGCCAACTTCCATACCTGGCGTGGCACTCATGCAAGAAATATTACGGCAAATCTATATTATTCCATTACAAAACTGAAACTAGCTCCATTAAAAGCGTTGGGGTAGTTTGCAAACCCTACAGACTATTTACAAGGTAATAAAACTGTGACATACGTGCAAATGCGTGTGCATGTGTGTACAGACTTGAATCTCACTCCAGCCAGCTGACCAAAGTTAGAAACCCTGATATTATTTAAAAAACACATTTTGATTTAGTACGGCATGCTGCACGGATATAAACTGATGCATCTGAAATGCATTTAGGCCGACTCGTGTGATTCCACACGCCGTGTTTGCTGAAGAACAACAAAATGACAACAAAATATACTGTGGAAACCAGAAACACAACAATGCTGTATCACTGCAATTTATGGAATATATCTTTTTGACAGCTTATTTAACTTTTTTGTATGGGGTGGCTAACAAGCTGATCACATACATATATTGTTTTGGGTGTAAAATTATTACAGTGGGAAACTAGATTAGATTAAAGCTTAAAGCCACTGATAATTATGCCAAACGATGACAATTGTACAAAACTATTTGCATATATGTGTATTAAAACATTTGGAAATTTGTGTGAGGCAAAGAGAAATGATATTCTGCTGTGCAGAAGTAACATTATGTAGGTATGTTACAATCTCCCGATTCCCGCTGCGTCGCTCTTCCGCGCAGGTGTGTTCACGTCATCACGAGTTTGGTGGATGCGGGGAATAGCATAGCCGCGGAAAAAGTTGAACGGTAGGTTTATCTTTAAAGTTCCAGGTGCACACGCTTATAGATGACATAGTTCACATTTTTCGTCACAACCTCGATTTCGAATTTTTGTTTTTGACCGGTCAGAAGTGTTTCCTTTTCCCGTTGCAAAATTACCGATAAATTACTTCTCAAAGGCATCGCTTCAAAATCACTAGAGGTAAATAGATTTTTAATAAAATCCTATAGATTTGATATATCATTTATTCAACCATGTCTGTGTGAAATTTCGTGAGAATTCTTAGTTGCGAAGTCAATGGTTTTGCTTGCGAACGAAAGCTTTCCCAACTGAGCGGTCACGGTAATGAGGTGCCCCAGAGGTCACGTGACTGCTATACTGCAACCTGATTCGTCAAGCGCGTTTGTTTACATTGTAGATGACCAAGTGTGTTTGTTATGAGAGATCTTTCACTGATATTTTGTGCATTCCTGCAGGGCTTTTTTCACTAAAACAGCTTATAAAACAAATTGATTATTTTTTTTTTAATTTATTTAAATTATTTACATAATTTATTCAATTTCTTTAAATTTCTCAACTTAAGATCACAGCCTTTGTTTAAAATACATTAAGAACAAAAGATTTTCTGTTATATGGGGGGTTTGGATTTTTTTGTAACATACCTACATTATGGTGTGGGGATTATACTTCTTATTTTGGAAATGTTGTCATCTGCGAATTGTTCCAAATCAATCAATTTGCTAAAGAAAAATGATCAATCAGTGACAATGAGAAAGTGGGAACCAACTCATTCAGAATTATGGAGCTCAGGAGCATACTTACACTGACAAACTGACGATATATCTAAGCATTTTGACTCTCATGGTTAAAACGATGCTTATTGTACTTTTCATTTTGCTGGCACTGATTAATTCATTGGTGGAATTATGTGCTTTTCAGACATTTGTTTTGGATAAGTACAGGCTTTGCAGCTAAACCATAGTGCTTTGCTGTATGCATGAATTGGTTTGATAAATGTTCTTATAATCTTGAGAACTTAATTGTTAGGTATGTTTTATGAAATGTGCCAAAGCAATCAAGAAAAACGGTAATAGACACTTCCCGAAGTTTATCTTAATGATCGACAGTTGGAACAACTGTTCGTGTGAAAAACTGCGCAGCTCTTGCTGGCTCTGCGCTACGCATCTGGCCATGTCTGATCACATTTTTTATGACAGCTTAAGGCGATGGTTGTTGTGCTATGCAGAAAAACAAACACATCCAAATTAAGTTCTTTTGCACGCTGTTTCTCAATGTTGAAAAGAGCCAGATTCATCAGACGGTCATGTGATGTGGTTGTATGGCGCATGTGATTTTTCACAAGTTTCCAAGCTGAAAAGCTGCACTCACACCCTACAGTCCCCACTGGCAACCTACTGCTGTGTTATGGGTTCAAACATACTAGTGTTTTGCAGCTCTTTATGTCTTTTTACTAAAACGAAAGGCAGGTCATTAAATCTAAATGCTCCTAGAAATCATGTGTTTGAACTCCGTTTAGTGAGCGACTTCAGCTTACTTTTGGCTAACATCACAGTAACTAATTGTTGAATTTCCATTAGCATACGAGCCATACATTGCTGATTTAGCATACTTAACATGCATTACTGATTTAACTTTGTCTTAAATTCGGGTGTTTGGTTAGACCTAATTAAGACTTCGCTCGAAGACGCAGCGCAGCTCAGTGGCTCTTCTACTCCGCACCCGCGCGCAGGCAGGCTCGCGCTGTCAGCGCGTTTTAGCGCAGTTCCCTAGCGAAGATTTTGCAGGACCTAAGATTGCATTTATTTGATTTCTCTCCATGTCCCATTTGTTTCAGTGATTTGAGCAACTTATGGACGTAGTGGCGATTGTATGATTACAGTTTTAGCAACTGAAAAGTTTAGGGGGAAGATGTGGGGCAAGACCTGCTCCCCCCATGCCCCAATGTAGATCCGCCTCCGCATGTCATACTCTATCAACGGATCCAGGAGAAACACTTTAATGTCAAGCAGGTCGAAAGTGGCTTTACGCCTAAACAAATCGAAAATCTTGAGGTGCCTGCGCCAAGTTGCTACTCAAAAACTTGAATTTCTCCCAACGTGTGAAACCAAGATAGAAATAAAAGCGGATTAAACTAAACAGATACATGGTGGGAAAACAGAAAGTAAAACAGAAAAAAATATTACTCGTAAAAACAAGACGATTATGTAATTAATTCGGAAAAATAGAACCGATTTTTTCCGCAGGTGATAAGATGGCTTATTCAAGTGTTTGTTGTATCGCCATAAATTTCTGTGGCTTTCTTTTTTATTACTTTTAGAAAATTAAAACTTTTCCAGAATAGTGCTGTCAGGGTTCTCACAAGATTACGAAAGTATTCTGATCTTAGATCAGCCGCATCGGCTTCCCACCAAACAAAACAAGCTGCAAAATGCGCCTGCTGACATCTAAGTTCCAAACTTTCCTTACTGATCTCCATTCCGCTCCACCCTCCATGCGTCCTTCAAGACGTCAAAAGTAAAATCTGCCACATGTTCCTATAGGACCACGTTATGTACTACAGGCGCGCACTTATTTGTTATGTATGCTACTCAGTCATGGGTCGACCTTCATCTCGGGGCTGTAAAATTTATGATTTTATGAGTTTATAGATGCCAAGGATTTTTTACTTAATGTGAAACACATTTGTAAGGAAAAGTGATATATAAATTGGTTATGATTATAATTTAGTTATGCATTGGCATGTGGATGTCTAAGGTTAATCCTTAAATTATATAATAAAAAAGAAGGCAAACTTAAGGTTCTTTTTGGCCCTGTCTTGACGACCAGATCAAACCAAAACCAATTAATTCTCACAGCAGCATTTTAATCGTCTAACATTCCATAAATTGCTAGGAAATAGATCATCAAAAGACAATAGTCTACCACCTGCTTGTCGAGGACAGGCTCACAGCGAGTTTGGCAGCTTTTCCCGGGAAGCATGGGACAGGTGAACACCCTGGACAGACGGACAGTTTGTGGGAGGGCACACACAATCACACACAATCGGCAGATTGGAGACGCCGGTGCCACACACAACATGGGGGACCATGGGGTCTGCACACGCACGGAGCAGGGGCGGGCTTCAGACCACTTCAAATTAAATAAAATTAACTGATATTTTAATTGTCATTTGCACAAGTACGAGTACAGATACATTGGTGCTGCTCTTCTTTTCTCATATCCCATCATGCTCTCCTGGGAGACATAGACACAGGTTTACATAAAGCTGAGAGCAAAGTTTGTGTCTAAGCAAAGCTCAGGCATTTACCTGACACCACTGGAGCATCTGCATTTGGGGGGGGGGGGGGCACCTGCGTTCGATTATTCTCTACGAGTCGGAAATTCACTATGGAAGGCCAACGGGGCCAAAACGTCTTAAAACTTTATGCCTAAAGACGTCAAATATTAACGGCCAGAGACGTCAAGCCGTCAAGACGTTGCAAGCCTTTGGATGCAAAAAATCAACATGTCGATTTTTCATGCATAAAGACGTAATTTTATTACACCTTCAGACGTAAAAAAAAAGGCGGAATTTCTCTCTTATTAAATTAGGACATACACTTAATTATTTAAAAATATAATAAAATATGTGCATGTATGCGTATATTATTAATATTCTTAATTACAATTCGTGTTGCTACTAGTAGTTGTATTTAACAATTTTTACTACTCTTCTTCTTCTTATTATTATTATTATTATTATTACTACTGTAGTGAGTAATTATTTGTCACCACAGCACAATGCAAAGTGCACCACAACTATGTGACCTCTGCATGTGACCCATCTGTGAAGGAGCAGTGGGCAGCTGACAAGCAGTGTGCCAGTAGCAGTCATGAGCAAGGTACAGTACCCAGTTACTACTGGGGGATAGCCTGTAAACAGGAGGGGAAAATATTTTTTTTAAATATTAAAAATGTTTGTACAATGTCATCATCTGTCTATTTGATCAATGAAAAAACTAAAACATGTTTTCTTTCAATTCATAAATCAGTAAGTATATAATTCATAAATCAGTAAGTATATAATTCATAAATCAGTATATATATATATATATAGTATAATTGTAGTAGGGCTTTTATTAATACTTTATACTAGTACTTTCTTTTGTGCTCACAGTTTTAGTATTTATTATCTTGATTGTATTGGAACAAAATGTTAGGTCAAATGTCACAAATTCCTTGTAAATGTCACATTACTTTGACAAGAAAAGTGATTCTGAACCTGTAGTCGCCTAAATAAAAAAAGACAATTACATTTAAATACTAAGAACAGACCCTTAAATCTTTGTGGAGGGCAATGACCTAACTTCGTTGCAACCTAAAAATATTATGGAACTTCAGACATGTATTCCACCACATTTTATTCCAAATTAAACTAATAGACCTTACTGGTTTATTTAAATGCTCGACTGAGTATCCTGCTGGTATTGTGCCTGACTAAATCAGCAGATTGATTTAGCAGTCTTAAAACCATCTGTGGGTTGTTTAATATTTATGCTAGGGAGACTATGGACAGCTCAACTGACCAGCAGTTAAGATCTCTTAGGGAGACATAGGGGGCTTCCCAATGTGCGTGTGTGTACTTGGCTACACTTGTGTTCTCATGTACCCATTTGACATTATCTTCCATTGCCAAAGACCAGTTCCAATACTAAAAACAAAAGTACAGAGGACAATAAAAATCCCAGGATGTCATTCTTGCTCCACCTGAAATGTCAAGGACGCATCAGTTGCATCCTCGCCAAACAAAACTAATCACATGATTTATTGCACTCCAACTTTGTTCTTGGAAGGATGTTAGCAAGACTGGTCACGCCATGACCACAAGTACAGTCTTTGCATTCTTGGTATTGACATTCATCTAAAGATAAATTTGGCCTACAGCTTCTAACAACTGGATTTAACAGGGAATTAGAAATCACTAAACCACCCTGGTGTGAATATCAACATTCAGTGGAAAGTATGACCACTTTTACCAAACAAGCCCCTGCACAAATGTAATTGTTTTAAACAAACCCCCCATCAGTTAAACTTCCATCTGCAATGTACAATAGCCTGCAGTGAACCCAGTGTTCAACATTGTCATCGCTGCCACCTTGTGTCAATAAGTGAAAATACACTCCAGCTTTTCTCAAAGGGGCTGGTTATACCAATCAGCTCACATGTACATCACTGTGTGTGGGGGGGGGCATTCATATGAAAGAAACATTGCTTTCATATGAATCTTGTCATTTATTAACAGTTATTTATGTCACAAAATTCACTACAACATAAATCAATTATTTCCACATTGGGGTCTATAGTTACAAAATATTATATATATATATATATACAAATTTACATACAAAATATATACACGTAAAAATGTGCAACAGCCTTCTATCAAAACATTTTTTCCCCCTAGTTTTACAGTCCCAGCTGAGTGGGAAATTAGTGTTTGTTTATTCAACTGCAAAGGAGGGGCACATTAGCCAATTCAAATTTTTTCCCACCCTCTTAAGTTTAAATGTAGTAGATTATGCCTGCCATAAAAATGACAATTACATTTAATTTAAAAATCTTGCAGGAGAAACAGATACAGCAAACGTCACTGTATGTAATACAGCGTAGCGGGATATCCGGAATGCCGCCCACTCCCAAACGTCACTGTATGTAATACAGCGGAGTGGGATATCCGGAATGACACCCACTGCCAAACGTCACTGTATGTAATACAGCGTAGCGGGATATCCGGAATGACACCCACTGTCAAACGTCTTTCCCAGGTGTTTCCCACAACTCAATGAAGAATACAAATGAAGGGAGAAAAAAAATAGATCAGCTTGAATGACTTCACATTTCTTGCATATATTTTTAAGTTTCCAGTTTCCCAGAAGGCATTTGGCTCTTGAAGATGCACTGACGCTGGGTGTGTGCACTTCCGTTCATCGCAGCTGACCTTCTCCGAAGCACAAGTTTCGTCCAGTACTTCTGCCTGAGAACTGTAGGCATGAGGCATGTAACAGTTGGTGGAAACTGTGGCCATTTCCAGAATACTAAAAAAAGAATTGTAATCAATCCCCTTACCCCTCCGCAAAAAAAAAAAAAAAACTTCTTTTGTAACATTGGCATTTTGTCTGTAAGGGCTCACAATTTCTCAATGGGTTCTGGTCCATGTAGTGAGAAGCCCGAGTGACCTTGACCCCCAAAGGTCTCTGGCGGGGGTGGGGTGGTTGGTGAACCACACAATGCCTTTGATGTGGCTGAGCACTTTGTGCTCAACACCCATGACAAAGCCCCCCACCCTCCCTGCAGTACTCCGCTGGAGGTGTGGCCTGCATCCTACACAGTTCCCAGCTCAGTAGAGTCCTCAGAGTCCGGTTGGCTTTCCCTGCAAATCCACAGCAAGCATGTAGGTCAGTCACCAACAAGTAGTAGCTTTGGTTGTAGTTACCAGACTATGTGCTCAATGAGCTTCATTCGGCATCATTATACGGACCGCGTATGCAAAATTGATTCGGTCTTCCGATAGTCTATTGGTTAAACATTTAACGAAGCAATTAAGGTAGACCAACAGGAGTCAGCTTTCTGGGATGTGAATGTGCAGGATCTGGGACATAAGCTCAGCCTTCAAATCAGCAGCTGCCAAAGGAGTTAATGTTGGACACCCTAGAGACCCTAAATCGAGCAACAAGATCCAACCAAATCGGCTGGGCTGGGCTGGGAGCAAGACCCCTCACCTGAGCTCCTGCAGCAGCTTGCGGTTGCCTTGCCGGACCTCCTCGTTGATGGGGTACACCAAGAAAATGAGGAGGCCCAGAAAGATGAGCGCGATGGGTGCGGCCGAGACCAGCAGCTTGAGGGTTAAGTGCACGGCGTCTGGCTGAGAGCAGCCTCTGGTCACATACCCTGCGAATCTGAAGGACAGAAGGCGCATAAGGAATCTGTTCATGAGGGAGCTGCGACTTCTACAGATTATGTCAACAAAATGGCCAAAAACAGCGTGTAATATGTAACTGTAAAAGCCACAGATATTCCAGGTTACGCAAAGTGTCTGAATGAATCGTTTCTTATTCAATATCAAGCATCTCTCACTGCGGCCCAGACATGCAGCAGTCTGCCAAACTGAAATAAAACTTCTAAATTCTCTTACTTAAGGCTCAGGGTGGAAATGCCCAGGGAGATGCCAGAGGCGAACTTGGTAAAGAAGACGTAGAAGGAGTAGAAGATGGCCTCGTGGCCGCGAGAGCCCGGGTTCTTCACCTGGAAGTCATCGATCACATCAGGGAGCATGGACCTGTGGGCAGAGGGAGGGACTCGTGTGGCCTGGGTTGGGCACAACTGGAAGAACCCCACACAGACACTTTAACAGTGTCCCAGTCCGGGCTCCAACTCACCATGGCAAGAGGAAGGCAGCAGCCACACTGGCACCAGCGGCGAAGGTCAACACGTATGTGACAATGAGGCTGCTCCTCACACAGACCAGCAGGATCATGAAAGGAATGACTGACTAGATGGGCGCAAAACAAAATACAGGGAAAACTTTACCCAGAATTCCCCGTCAATCCTAGGCTCTGCTGTGCTTGTAAAATCCTGACTATGGAATGCGAATTAAGATTAGGATTTAGTGACTGCCATTTTCACAGGCTGCCAAAAAAAGGCATCAGTCAGCACACTGACAGCATAAACAGGCTATAAATTCACGATTGTCTAAACACTTCAGGGCATGTGTCATGTAATTCACGCTCAACGCGTAGGGGAAAATTCTGGCAAAGATGTGCCGGTACTCACCGCGGTGCCTAGGAACACTGCAGTCTTCTTTCCGAACTTCGTCAGGAACCAGTGCCAGAATGGGATGGTCAGGGTAGCAGAGAGCTGGAAAAGGTCGCAGATTAAGGGCCACAGTCCCAGCCACTTTAAGCTATTTTTACATTTTCATTTGAAATCATTCATTTCATTTTCCTTGTGGTACATTTCCATTTAGTTTTTATATATTTATTCGTTTCAGGTTTAGAAATTATATTTCTAGGGACAGACTGAAAAGTTGTACAGCTATTTTATGGGCCTGGTCTTTAGAGAAGCCTACATGAATACACAGTTCTCAAAATGTCCCAGGTATTATTACTGGTCACTAAAGAAATTACTCTTAACTAAATATTTAAAAATTGTAAAGGAAAGTGTTTGACATTAGTGTTTATTTCAGTTAATTTTGGAAGCAATATTTACAGTTTTCATTTTTAGTTGTTTATTTTTCGGATCTAATTTTATTTCAGTTTATGAAAATGCTTTATTTTAGTTTTTGTTAACAATAATGACCCTGGTTGCAGGCAACTAAACCAGTTTTAGGACTCCAGTGTTAAGCTTCGTTATTAACACAGGATATCTTACTGAAACAATGGAACAAGAAATCCCTCCACACCCAAGTGAAATTTCTAGGAAATTGAAAGTCTTATGAAGAACCCTGACATCGCTGATGACAGCATAAATGTAATTTCCAATTTATTACGCCTTGGACCAGAAAGACATCTGCAGGAATTGCTGACCCATCACAAGGCACACAGACAGATGCAAACGAGTTAGCCGAGAAGGAGCTAAGAAAATGACCGCGACGTCGTTTGGCGACAAATGCCTGAGATAATCTCTATTTCCAAGCACTCCTGAAACACCATGCGGCGTCTTTAGGCTGATGAATTCATTTACATCATTATTTACTTTGCAGCCACTTTTATGCAAAGCAACATGCAATTGAGAAGGCAGGGTCAGACCCTGGAGCAGCTGCGGGTTAAGGGCCTCGTTCATGGGGCCAATGGTGACATCACTCTGTCACCCTTGGGATTTGAACTAACAACCTTCCAATCACAGGCACTGCATCCTAATCCACTGAGCCACTCTCACCCCCCTGCTTTTTAAGTAACGGAGGACAAGACTCTGCCAGGCCAGGTGAGGGTCAGGTTCCATCGCTTCCCACCATGCAATCAGTTTCAACCTCACTTTCCCCAGCCTCCCTCCAATAAAAGGGGCAGCCAGACAAGCTCCAGCTTAGAAAGCCTGCTTTCAACACAAAACCGGAGTGTATTTGAAAGGAAACAATCGGATACCATGGCAACCTAGAGGCTGTCCCACAATACAACAAAGTGCGTGGTTTCTCGGAAAACCAACTCCCCTTCAACATACTCGCAAAATGAGTTCTGTTGGGTTACATCCCTATGGAATCAGATTTGTGCCAATATTATCAAGCAAAACTTTAACATCAAGCAAAAACAAGGCTTCAAGAAAAAGAAAAAAACTGAAGCAAAAGAAATGTCATCTCAAAAGTAAAATTTATAACTTGCAAACACGATTGGTCTTTTGATAATGTTTTCCTTTCAAGACTTCAAGACTTTTTATTGTCATTGTACAGTTGCCTGGACAATGAAATTAGCTGGCAAGACCACAAAGATGCAAGAAAGTGTCAGTACAAGATATAAGAGTAATAAACACAGTTTTCCTTTGTTTACGCTGCCAGCTTCCTCACTTGTGCTCCCTGACTTTTTGCTTACAATTCTGACACAAACTTTTTCAGGGACGCGTCCCCATTGGCTAATAAGTTTTTGACTGACAGGTCAGTGCCACGGACATTTTTAATTAACAGCGGGACTGGACATTCACTACCCACTAATTAATTTTTACTGGATCCGACAACAATATTAAAGTGTAAATGTTGATGTTTGTGCTGCACTGTACATTTTATTGTGCTAAATTAGAAGTGAAGTTAAGCTTTGCTATGTAATTTAGCTTTTACCTATTTAACGTTAGCTAACTTGCTAACGTTAACCACAAATCCGATTCCATAACATCCCCCCCCTCTTTTATTGACATCTAAATGACTAACGGCATCTGCTGAGGCTGAGAGCGCCAAGTGAGGGGCAGTATGTTTACAGCTAGCATTGTAAAAGTTAAGTAGATATTATAAAATGGAGCGTGATAAATGAATGATTTGGGAACCTCATGCAAGATCATACAAAGAGGCTTTGCTCCATAAAAGCTGTACCTGTACCAGAATTAGAATAACCCTTTTTTTGGCAGCACTGAATCTACTGTTACCTTCACTCGGTCTCACAACAATGTTAGCATGTTGTCTTACCATAATAACAAGGAGAATGTTCTGAAAGTCATTTCTGAAGCCCAATGTATAGCTGCAAAACAGTGCAAAGTTTCCTTCAAGGAGCTGTTCAGGGGCAGACAAAAGCAAAACGTTAGCCGACAAGATTGCAAAAGAAGCTGCATCATGTGGCAGCCTGTGGAGGATGTCATATCGTAACACTAAGTTTAAAAGTCAAGGCAGAACGTACCATAAATGCCAGGGAGGTAAAGAGGAAACCCATGACAAGCTTAGTGTAAGGCCCATAACTCATGACCAGGCGCAGCCCTTGGAGGAACGACATGGAATGGTCCGACTTTGATCGGCCCATTTCTGAGAAGGGGAAGAAATTACCAGAATTCAGTGTACATAGCTATTGGAAAATGTGGCTGCTCAACGCCCCAGCCCACCCCACCCCCAGCATGCACTAATTCCAGCCTGCCCAGTGTGGGATTTCATGGCTGCCGGTCGGCTTGTGCTTCAGAAACACAACACGCTTAGTCAAGGACACGAGAGCCTCTGGCCCATGCAGTCCAGCAGTCTCATGGTGAGCCAAATCAGGCCTACATTTGCTCCTGTTGGAATGGGAGGGCTGCCAGCATTGTGGGAATGGTGAGGGACATGATGCCTGTACTCATCATACGTAAGCAGGATGGACGCGTAGCTGGAACAACAGAAAGGAAGGAAACCTCTCTTACCTTTGTGTTCTTTCACGCCAAAGAACAAAATGACTGCACAGATGACGTAGATGCCGCAGATGACAGCGGAGCCGATCATGTAGGCTGTTTTCTGCCGAGGGCGGAAGGAAATAGGGAGGGAGCGTCATTTTACTATAGCAAAAAAATAGGCATGCCTGTAGCAGGCCTTGTGATTAAAAATAGTGATGTCACAAGCTATCAGTAAATAGTGTCCGTAATTAATATGCAAAAAAGCAACATGCTGACATGCAAAAAGTACTAAAGTGAGGAAAGCAGACATACTGTGGAATGATTAAAAGCATTTACACAAAACCATTTAGTCATGTGCTTTCATCAAGGGTCATGCAACACCGGATGGTGTTTTGGTCACAGATCCAGAGTAGATTAGCAGTGTAGAGAGACCTCTGTGCCGGCTAGTGACGTGAAAAGTTGTGTTCAACAGGAGAACTTTGCTACAAAGCAGCTTAAAGAGCTCGTACCGTCTGGTCCAGAGATATATGAGAGACGTTGACATCCAGGCCAACTTGCAGGCTGGTGGAGTTGAACTCCTGGACGCTGTCAGTCGTCACCGGGATGCAAGGAGCACTGGCTCCTCCCACTATCTGGCCCTGGATTGCTGTGCCCACCAGTGTTCCCATTACTTCTACTGTCATTCCTGTGAGATACATGGAAACACGAATCAGTGAGAGGACCCATAATCAGATAATGACTGGAGACAACCTGAATTATCTAGGAATGCCTGGAAATACGGCGATAGCGCTGTGATAAGGGGCTTGCATCGCTCAGTTCCACTGCGACTTACGGTATGCAGTGGCGGAGTCCCTCTCTTTCTGCTCGGAGGTGATGAACATTGTAAGAGCGGAGTAGGGAACGTGGAAGCACTGTGATGAGTGAAACAGGACCTCAGTCATCAGGGTGGACTATCCAGCCCCTACACAGGCCAAGTAACACAATACACTGACGCAAAATGGGGAATGGGGCCAGGCGGGCAGATGTTTGAAACTCACCGTCTGTAGAGTTTGGAAGATGCAGTAGAATACCAGGTACCAGGCGACCTTGCCTTTCTCGACAGGGGGGACGTACCAGACCAAGAAGTAGGACATCACCGCCAGAGGAGTGGAGAATACGATCCTGAGGGAGATGAATGAGACAACTGGATGAATGAGCCAGAAGTTAATGACAAGTTAATGCAATGACAAGGTGTGTGAAAAACAACAAAAAAAAACTAAACAAAGTTGGTCAAAGTTGAAGCAAAATCACAATGCATTACACATTTACCTGAAACACACCCCCTAGGATATGAATCCACAATCTTTGTGTTGGTATAACACCGCTTTACTTGTTGAGCTATAGAAGCTTTAGAATCTGACAAAATTAAAATGATTCAACTGCTAATTATGCATTCCAAGGAACAGACACCAGAGGAACTTGTGTTATAAAACTCAAAACCAAATTGCTTTTGGTTAGATGCAGCCAAACCAGCTTATCAAGGCAAGGCTTGTAAATACCCATAAATTTAACAGTGTATAAACAAAATAATCTGGGAAAAGCACAGGTGCAGTCCCTGGAATTTGAATGCACAACCTTCTGGTGTGAGGTCAAACCACAAACCTGCACTATTCCACATATTATATCAAAACAGATCCTTCTGCAATATAACTTCAGTCTAACATCATACTCTGAGTCACTTCCTTTGTAACATGTTCCAGATGATCATTACATCCCCAGCATTTACAATGCAAAAGTGTGCCAATTATCAACCTCATCAGCCTCTTCCCTCTTCTGTCCTGACCAGAACATTTCCCGCTTGTCCCCGCTGGCTGTCCCGAGAGCACTTCCCCTAACAAAGGCCAGAAATGTCTTCATGCGTAAAACGTGAGCGCCATGGAAACACTGAAGCAACCCCCACTGCCGACTTCCTCAGAGGCCACACTCCCTCATAATGGAAACAGACTGGATGGCGGCAAGTAGAGACATGACACAACTGCTTACGTCACTAGCCGGCACAGAGGTCTCTCTACACTGTGCTAATCTACTCTGGATCTGTGACCAAAACATCATCCGGTGTTGCATGACCCTTGATGAAAGCACATGACTAAATTACTGGCAGACAGATGAGACAGCAGGTTGCTTAGTAGTGGGATGATCAGGTACTGGTACATTTTTCTTGTACTGTGGTAATATTTTGTCCAGCCGTTACAGTTTTCTTCCACATCTCAAAGGCGTGAGTTCAGTGCATCACGTAAAAAAATTTGAGTACGTGTCGGGAAATGCGTAAGAGTCCTACTCTGGGCTTACCTCCACCCCAGGGTACAACCGCAGTTACACACATCCCTTACAAAAGTACACTGGTAAGCCGTTACCAAGTACAGGAGGACATCTAGCTTTAGATCACACACTGGTATGGTACGTTTCTAGTGCTCCACGGCCAGAAAGAAAAAAAAAAAACACAACCCTGGAGTGTAAAGTCATCCACCGCAACGTGACAAAGCTATTCCACACATGGGGAAGATCTTCCCACATCTATCCTCTAACAGGCTGCGTGTAAACACTGCTCAGAATCAAAGCGCAGCACTGAGTAATTAGAGTAACTGTATCCCATTCGTTTTATTTAATCAACCCCACCTTACGATCAGTTTACCGTGACACTGCATCATTCATACATTACTCAATTGCCTACTTCCACTACTGGGAGAGACGGCGTGGCATAACGGATTTCTGTAACAAAAACCGTACTCTCAAAGTGCAATTATCAAGGAGCTAAAAGGTACATCTGGTGTAATTAAAGCCTCACAGATTGTGAAACTGTTACACACAGCCAGCCGGTGGATATGCCACTGACAGCTGTCCGGACCAGTTTTCGACCGGCAGGGTGACGTGTGTTTAACGAACCGGCAGTTGAGGTTTATCGCAATAACCATAACTAACCGGCTCTTATTCTATAAGCTGCATTTAAAGTTCCAACGAAACCCAAGCACGTTTGCTGCGGTTTATTTCTGTCCAGATTTGTCCAGCATTTGCTTACTCTACCCCTGAGCAGTCGTGTTTGTTTAAAACCATTTTACAACTTGCAGTCAATTGTACTTAACACGACGAAAGTGACAGAACACTGCTATCCATGGGAGATCTGGGACTTCCTGTCTGTGCCCAGATTAGAGACAAAAAATAAAGTTCTTGCTTAGAAAATACTGATTTTACCAGTGCTCAGAAAATAAATTGCCAAAGTCTGTAGTCATCGGTTCCTACTGGCTTCCTATACAAAACACAAGAGAAACGCAACACACACGCAAATTTAACGCAGCCATCTACCAAACACTGCCACACGTGTGGCACTAAGGAAAAACTAAAGAGAGTGAAATGACTAATAGTTATGCATGACACAAATAGAACAGAATTCTTAATTCTTACAACAAGTCAATTCAAAAGGCGACCAAGGAGTCATATGTAACAGATGAACACAGTGTCAAATTCATACAAATACACAGAACATGCTTTTTTTCGGACAGCCTGGCAGTTGGTTCTTGTGTCTGTCAGGCCTGGAGGGTAGGTTTCGGGGGTGATGGTGGGCTGTTACACAGGGCTGATTCACATTACCCCACTAATATATCAGCCAATTGACACTGAGCCTAGCAGTCAGACCACGACGGAGCAGCTTGAACTGTAGTAACCTCCCAGATTCCTCATGCATTCTTACGTTTTGGGTGGGCGAGGCAGCCGTTATTGGGCGAAAGTGAGTGGTGTGTTGTGGGCTGGACCAATCACAGTGAAGCCCTTCCCCCAGCACACATGCTTAACACGACTTCCTCTTCTCATACCAACAGGGAAAAACTGGTGCCTTGGCTTCCCGGTCCCTTACATCTTAAAGTTTATTTCAGTCTCAGTTTTTTTTTAAGTAGATTTTTATTCAGAATACAAGAGGACACAAGTATGTAGTTCCACGTGATTCTTGTTAGTTTTTTTGGGCTTAACACTTCCCTTCCCGTAGGTGCCATCTTCCCGTTTTATAATTAGTCTTAATGCGTGATGACACCACTTGATTTATAAATCCCATGAAACGCGTAATAGTTATTCTGAGTCACACGTTGTATTCTGAGTGACAGCACTATAATTTTTGGAAGGCACAATCAAGTCCACCACTAAACCTTAAATCAAACTTAGAATAAATGTACGGAGAAAAACATGCTGGGGAAGAGACACTAAAACCAAGTCAGGACTGCTTCAGGGAACAAGCGCTTCTCCGCAGCGCATCTATAATCAGGAGGGAATCGGGGTTTGGCGCAGGATGCTCATTACCACACATCTCATTGGAACCGGACTCGATGACATACACACTTCCTTCACCATTCCCCCAGAGCTGGGGGGGGGTCCCCAACATCCTGTTCTTTGGAAGACAGCGACTGCCAGTTACCCACTTGCACCCAATTCCCGAGACAGGCTCTGTATTCTGGCTCAAGAGACTAATCAGATCAAATAATTTTCTTGCCCATCATTTCCCCATTACCCCAAAGCCGACCCCCCAGCAAAGAGAGCCCACGATACACGCTTGTTTACAGACAACGCTGACAGGCATCAGTTTGCACAAGTCAGTCTTCCCTTCTAAAATACAGAGGCTGCTTTAGTCTCGTGTGCCATTTCAATGCTGAAGGCATCCCAGCAGATTTCGCCCAAAGACCGTTTATGAGAACAGTATGTTCATGCTGACTAACTGCTTAGCCATTACACCCTAGGCTCTCTATGGATACAATCACAGGGACAAACACTGGATCTTAGTGCAACACTTCAGCAAAGACAGTTCTGTCCATCCCACCATACAAATGGTGGGATTTATACCGAACATATACTATGCAAATATTTGTTCTTCTTGTGAAAGAGCTTCACGTCATAGTGTGTAGCAAAATTTCCTCAGGTAAATGCAACCACTGCTGTCCTTTGACTGAGAAGCAGAACACATACAGTCCCTCTGACATTGAGGACACGGTGATGAACCCGAGTAAGAAGCCAATCCTGAAACTCACTGAAGGAAGCATCCTAAGAATAGCCAATCCTCTTCAGCCCCCCAATCAGTCTCCCGACAGAAATCCCAACACAAAAATAGCTATTCACCGAGTGCTGGCATGCCTCTCAGTCAAAGATGGCATCCCAGAAAAACCCCCAATGCTGAAGTTGCAGAATTCACAAACCCCAGAATAAATCTTCCTCTGGCTATTGACCACTCTGCAGCATGCCTTCACAGGTACTTATTAGGAGTTAATCTTTTTTTCTAGACAGCACAAGTTGAAGATCAGTTCTGTTGCTCTCTTCAGGGCACTGTGACTGCCAATCTGAAGGGCACACTAAGTGACACAGGCAGCTCAGGGTACAGTGCATACGCTGGGTATACACCAAGCGAACGGTCCACTCCCGTCGGCTCCTGTTGATTATGATCATTGGCGCTGGAGCAGACCAGCAAGGCTAGAAACGACTTAATATACAGACCAATCAAAGAGCTCGCTCAGATAAGCTGACTAGCTCAGACGGCAATTCAAGATGCTAAACTGGCCAAAATGGCATCAATGGGGAACAACCGTGTTCAACCAAGCTGACACCGACTCACCGATGGCTTCCGACGACTGAAATTTGGCTTAGTGATTCAGGCTGCAAGCCTGCGACATTAAGGTGACTGGGCGTTACAAAGTAAACCTGGATCAGAAACACACGTCCCGCTCTATGACATGGGTATGCATAAAACTAGACCGGGCCACATGACAAAAAGCTGCGTCACATGACGTACCGTGTGCTCAAAGTACCAAAAGTACAGAACCGGTGGCAGCATCATAGACGCGGGACACGTACCAGGGCATCATCCTGCCGAAGCGGGTCCAGGGGCTGCGGCTGACCAGGAAGCCGATCATGGGGTCCGTCACAGCATCCCAAGCTCGACCCACAAACAGGATTATTGAGGCGTAGAAAGGATCCAGCTGTAGGAAAGAATCGGGGGGGTGAGGGGGATGGGTAAGATTCCTCGTTATACCAACCGCCTCTCACTCACTCGCAGGTGTGGGGGCCTTAGACCCAGACTCATTACTCAAAGGATAATGCTGTGTAAGGTAAGGTCCCCTAAACTGCTGCTTCAAAGGCAAAGAAATCCCAATGGAAAAAAGGTCAAACCATAATGTACACCAGCAGCTTTAAAGTCACCATAAACAAAACAGAGTTGAACGGATGTCATTCTAGCTAAGGCATATAAATTCATTTAATTGCTTTTCTGTTTTTTTTGGTAAGGGGGCATTCAAATTATGTCCAAGAGTCAGCCTATGGCATCACAGACGAGGCAATCTAGGAGAAAAGCTTCAAAGCGTACAGTGCACAGTAACTGAACTTAAGGTCAGACCTTTCACAGGAAAATGAGCTGGTCATTACCATTAAGCTCAAGGTCATACGACAGAGTAACCATGCCAGGAAAAGCCAGTTACTTGAGGAAAGGCACCTTTGCAACCAATTTCGAAACAGAGTAACGGCTAGAATGGCTTGGGAGCCTGGTAGATTGTACCACAACTGTGTCTTGGGTAAACAGATGCACTACAGGTCTGAGTACTTTATAAACAGACAGCACTCCTTTAAAGGGTGCCTACAGGTAAATGATAATCTTAAAAACTATTCAGACTTCACATTTACAGATACATTTCTGATGGAATAAATTGTATGCGACCCCTCGACCGTTTTCTATAAGCAGGACTACGACCAATAGCGTGCTTTGACCGTATGCAAAAAACGGTGTGTGGAGTATATGGGGAGATGTTGGCCGAGAGCTCACCTGTGCCACATCGAGGAGGTAAATCTGCAGGAAGAATCCCAGCACACATCCTGTGATCTGGTATGGGGCACCTCCAACTGCATAGCAAAGCTTATTGCACACTGACAAGCCCTTCTTCTCTTCTCCCTGGGGGGGTACAAATTGAGAAGAGTTAACTGAGGTCTGAAGTAGGGAAACAAGTATGACTGTACCCCACGGAGGGGAAAAAAAAAAAAAAAAAAACTTTATTCAAAGGTCATGGTACTTGTACAGCGTGGATCCAAGACAGTGCAAAGTTAATACATTTATGGGCCGGCCTGGCAGCACCTCACTCATTTAACCTCGGGACATTTGGATGTGTTCCTGGTTTGGGCTCTCCATTTCTGGGGGGGGGAGGGTTGGGGAGAGTAATCTTAATCTTATGAAACTGAGTGGATGACCCAACTTATCAGAACTCACAGCTGTGTGGACGCCTCAAACCGCATCAACCTGATGCCATGACTGACAACGAAATTTCACCATTTTCCTCCCAAGTTTTTCGCGTATACTTCCAGAGCGTGGCACGCTGCTCCCAGAACAGCTCTGCCAACTGACAATTTGTCACTGCGGCGTTTAATATGGCATCAGACATCAGGCCCATGACACACCCACAGGATTGACAAATCCAACAACATTCTGATCTCTCGGACTTGTGTGTCACTATCCGGTCGATAAAATCTGTTCACCCACCCCCACTGCAAATATAATGGGTGGACTACAAAAGTACACGTGTGCCAGTGGGCACATGCGTGTTAGGAGTTAAGGTGCCCTCTAGATGACTGAAGTAACATAATTATCATGGTTGGAGACCTGGACAATAGCTCACAACTTTATGGAGACAGGTGGCCCACGGACATTAATACAGAACAACGAAATATACAGATGGCCTGGATGGTAGTCAAACTGAACAAAATACCCCATGGACCGGACTGGGTCCAAGCTCGTTTCCAGACAGCTGCAATGTCTGCACCACTCATCAGCAGATCTAACATTTTGAATGCAACAACTCAAAATAAGGATCAGAAGAATTACTGTTGTGTTGAATGTGTGATTCTTCAATGTTGGGTTTTTTTCAGGTTTGTTTTAGCTGTTAAAAAACCCCTTAAATCCAAAACTTTTATGGGGTTTCCACCACAGCTACAAAAGTTTCTATTAAAACATCCCAGTATATTTCCAAGGCATACACTTCGGGTTTCATTCGTAGGAATCGTAGCAGGTCAAAGATGTTAAGTTACCTACCATCCGATAGCTACAGAATCGTTTTTTACTACAGCAAGCCGGAAACCACAAAAAATTCGCTCCGGGGAGAATCCGAACTAAGCACCGACACATTTTTCTTTTTACGGAGGTGGTATGTTCAGCGTAGCACATATTTTCATTTATTACACTGATTATAAATCATAATAAATAACAATGGGAAGGGAAAAAAATCAATGAAGGTACCGTGTAGTATTTTAAACCGGCAACAAGTGAACTCGTGGGGAAGGCGTGGGGAAAAATATAAAGGCATAAAAGAAAATACAGGAGAATTAGTAAAAGATTAATAACATAAGTATTAGTTACAATACCAACAGTAATGAGTGTTTAGGTGACTTGACTACATTTTAACGGGTTGGTGACTGACTAACCTAAGCGAAGCTAATTCACTCATTCACAGTGACACGTAGCCCCCGGCAGCCTAAGAAAAACCTACTCGTGTTAAGTATCTCTTTACTACCACAAAACATTTAAAAACATAAACATCTCGTACGGCTTTAAGGTTTTTTTTTTTTTTTAAAGCCAATCCAGACTCGGAAGAAAGGCGTTTTTCCCCCTCAGACTGAATGAAACGGGCTCAGGCGTTCGGTCCGGTTAGGCATACGGCTCACATACTACACAGTTACCGAACTGCTCGTTATTACCTCCAGCCAAGTTACAATTAATACAGTGGCTCTACTTACATTCCCCATAATTTGCTTTCCCATAACTCGCTAACCTTTTAATACCACATACTAAGTGATACGTCGACTTACCTTACTGGCAAATTTGTTCCTATTCGTCCAAAAGCCTTTTTTGTGTAACAAATTAGTGGCGGAATATGTATCATCTCCTTCTCTTCTCACCATACTGCTGTAAAAATTGTGTAAGAAATGCTGAATTGACGGGCTCCTGCAGGATTTCAGCGCTCAAACCGTGCTTGGAAAGGCGGGTTCACACGCTACTGGCGACACTGGGCGAGTAGCCGCGCTTCATTACTGATGTAGCGGCTGCCCCGGCCACGCCTCCTCCCCGCACGTCATCCTTACTAACGCTCTCGTCATACATTTCCTCCAGTTTAGGGTCTTATGTTCTCCATTCATTTTCCGTAAATACTTATCAAGCACAGAGTGTCGTCGTTTTGGCGCATATATCAACAACATGATACCAATCCACAGCTCAGCTCATATGGAAGTGAGATTTAGGGAACATGAAAACGCCACAATTATGTATTATTATTGACTTATGTATTTGTATGAATTATCCTTGTTGTTGTCATTGATATGATAATAATAACAACAACAATAATAATAATGATTGTTATTATTATTATCATCATTGTTGTTATTGTTGTTGTTATTATTATTATTATTATTATTATTATTATTATTATTATTATACAGGATGGGCTCCAACCCCCTGCAACCCTGCATAGAACAAGTGGGTATAGAAAATTGATGGATACTATTATTACGGCTCAGTGGGTTCTAGGTTTCTTAGACTGGAGTGTAGATTTGCCTATTCTATTGCCTATACTAAATTTCCCGGAGGAACCTTCCCGAGGGATTTATAAAGTACTATCTAATCTAATCTAATCTAATTCTCTGCACACTGCCTTTTCCTTCCTCAGTGTCTGGATTGTCTGCTTTTGGTGTGTGTCCTGTAGCAGACTAGACCCCCATTCAGTGTGTACACTGCCTTGTTCTCTGTCCAGGATAAGATTTTATAAAGAACATTGTTAAATAATATCTTCTTTGCAGCTGTAGGAGCTAATACAGTGTTGTTAGCATTATACGCTTCATTGGGCTTAAAATGTTATTTCATTTTAAGCCTGGCTCATAATCAACAAAAAATTGTATTGTTTTAAAAACTACAGTGCAACTATGTTTGTTGTACCATTGTCCTTATTTAAAAGTAGTAGAAAGCTTTATTGTCATTGCACAATGGTACAAGAAGACTAAGCTACATTTTCATGATCAGTGCTACTATATGAGAATAAAAGGTCAAAAACAGTACAAAATATAAAAGTGTATACAAAAAGTTGTTAGTTGAGATGTTGACATGACACTGAGATCTATTTTTATTTTTTTTTTTGAGGGGGTGGGGGGTAGTTGCGTAAGTGTTACTTCATGGCAGTGGCCTGTAATTGGGAGCCGCCCATTCCCACAGGGCTCACTGTGCTGATAAATGCCTCATGTCAGGCGAGGTCCCAAGGTTAGCCACGTGGAGCCAGCAGCGTGTCCAATCAGATAGACTGACCTGCTGTGGAAGTGACACCAGCACTGGGTTATCTGCACACCGCCAACACCAATCCATACAGTTCTCCACGGTGTCAACAATGTTTGGGAAAGTGTGCCAGCAGCAGATAAGATACGAGAACAATTCAGGACTATGTACAGTAAAATCATATAGTATCATGAGGATTCGTCAACCTGTCCGTGGCAAGGCTCATCTATGTTCATGTTAAAAAAAAACACCATGATTTTGAAATAACAGTATGTATCTACAGTAGGTAGCACTAGGTCCCCCCCCCCCCCTTTTTTAAATATCATGTCCGTTAAAAATGAATTTTAATCAGTCAGAATTTTGCTTGGTGTTGAACCACTGTTTTACCTTACCAAGAAAGCTTTCTGGGCGGATACACCAAAATAAATATTTATATGACGGACGATTTGAGGTTTTTGTAATTCATAGAGGGGCCAACCCAATCGTTAACCAATTATATGTTTCGAATTGGTGAGTGACAGCAGAGGAGGTACTCTGGGGCCCAATCAGCTTTCAGCTAGGCCCACTACCCTTGTAACCCCGCCCCTGTATACTCTTGGTTAATATAATGCTGGATGATAGAACCCTCAAGCTGGAAGGTCTTTGGTCTAAAAAATAAATCACTACATTAAAACCCCCAGTCTACATCCATGGGTAACCTTGAGTGTCCATATACAACTTATAAATTAACCAGATTCAAAACACAGTACATGATCAAGAATAAGATATACTTTATTAACCCCAGAGGGAAATTCAGGAATATAACTGTAAAGAAAGACACGGTTGATAGCAGATGCTAAAGTGATGCCATGAGACACCTGACAGCACATGTCAGCTCAGACATAATTAGGCACGAGTCATGAGTGAAAAATGGATCTGAATAGATCATTTGACTTTCCCATCATGCCTTGTCAGCAGCTCCCTAAGCAACTGAATGCTTTATTACCCCTTGTAGCTACAGCTTCAGGCTGTGTGTCTTATCTGTGTATGACAATGCTGGCAATTTGGTTTCTAACTTCCTGCCAAATAGCAGCTCCACTGGTGATAAACCTGGTTCTAACCGTTTACAACAGGACGCAACTCCTTCCCAGAATCCTGTCGTCTCTCTGCTGGGCTCTTCACTTCTGTTACCCAATTGACTGACCCATTTTGGAAAAAAAATCCCAGTGCTCATAATACGGAGGAGACCTTCTCCAAACCATCCAGGTTATTCCTGGTCCCCCATGTCCTGCTGCCGCCATTAAGCCCCAAACATGACTGCGCGTCAAGAGAACATTGTTGTGGCTATATATAGCAAGTGGTGTGATGAGGACTCACATGGAGAGCATGTGCAGATGAATTTGGCTGTGATTGTTCTCCCTGCCTGGTACATGCAGTACTGTGCAAAAGCCTTAGGCAGCCAAAGAGAATGTTTACAGCTATTTATCTGAGCAAGTGCAAATCTGCTCAGCAACATTATAACATTACATACAAATTAACAGTAACACAATAAAAAAAAATAACAAGAATGTCTATATATATTGGTTAATTAACTAATTAGTTACATAACTCAATGAGCTATTGATTAGCCAAGCAGGCTGAATAAGTACTTGAAAAATATGTTTGTGTGTAGGACAGTTGCTGTAAATACGGGGGCAATTTTGAAGGTTTTAAAATGGCTAAGCTGCCACGCTTTGACAGGCATACTATCATAGTTTTGCACCAATGTGAAGATCATTTATACATTTTTGACTGCCTAAGACTTTGCACAGTACTGTACATGTAAGCTTTTTCATTTTTTCAGGTCCCCACAAAGATCTGTGAATGTCATCAAAAAACTAAAAATGGCAAAAGTCTCGTATTTGTCTGGTTACTTATGGTTAAGGTTAGGGCTGGGTAGAGGTTAAGGTCGTCATTTTGGGATTAGAGTTTTCCCCATAGAAATGAATGGAGAGTCCCCACAAAGATATAATTACAAACCGGTGCGTGTGTGTGTGTGTGTGTGTGTTTGGTGTTTGAATGCATGTTTGCATCATCCAATCCTATGCTGTAGGCTGACGCCCCTCCCAGGAAGCACAGGGCACAAGGATGGATACTCTGGAAGGGATGTCAATTGATCACAGGTCTTGGGCTGTGGGCGGAAACCAAGAGGAAGCCCACGCAAACACAGGAACCCCATGCAAACACAGGAAGCCTGCGCAAACACAGGAACCCCATGCAAACACAGGAAGCCTGCGCAAACACAGAGACCCCATGCAAACACAGGGACCCCATGCAAACACAGGAAGCCTGCGCAAACACAGGAACCCCATGCAAACACAGGAAGCCTGCGCAAACACAGGAACCCCATGCAAACACAGGGACCCCAAGCAAATACTGGAAGCCCACACAAACACAGGAAGACCACGCAAACAGGGGAAGCCCATACAAACACAGGAAGACCATGCAAACAGGGGAAGCCCATACAAACACAGGAAGCCCAAGCAAACACAGGAACCACACACAAACACAGGAAGACCATGCAAACAGGGGAAGCCTGCGCAAACACAGGAACCCCACGCAAACACAGGGATCCCACGCAAATACAGGGACCCCACGCAAATACAGGAATCCCACACAAACACCGGAAGACCACAAAAACTTGGGGAAGCCCATACAAACACAGGAAGCCCAAGCAAACAGAGGAAGCCCATACAAACACAGGAAGTGCTCGTTAGGACAGGAAACCCATGGGAACACTATACCACCCCAGGTATAACGGGCACCCCACAGATTTCTAGTTCCTTGTTCCAAATAATGAATATTGGGTCCGAACTGCAATGGCATGCCTGCTTTTAATTTTAGTTTCAGCATGTGTTCAGCACAAACTTTTCAACTTGAAGCCAAAACTGTGGGCAGAGCATATTATTCAATCAGAGGCTGGAGCATTTAGCACGGAGTAACACCTCTCGGTGCCGTCAGGTGCGCATCGACAAACGTAGAGTCTGTACCGTAAAGGAGCCAAAACAACGAGAGTGACCGGGCAGTGTGATCCTCTGCTGATAGCTCCAAAGTTCAGCCCTGCTGTCAATGTGGCAGAGGGTTGAGACAAGGTTGACTTTTGGCGGTTCCTAAACTCCACCCCGCCCCCACCAAAAACAACGCTTACATTTATCCCGATTTCGAACGGCGCTGCGCTGGGTCTGTTGGCTTGTTTAGACGGCAGGAACAAGCCTACGTGCCACGTGTCGTGCCGTCCTTCCTGCTGGGGTAGCACGGGGGGATGATTAACTAAAGCTTTATCGCATCTGATTCTGTTGCATCTGCGAGCTACGTTATGTGTGGTAACACTGTGTTACGTGTCCTTGAATGAGTACTGCCAAGTAAATTAGACAGTTCGAAATCTGATCAAAACAAAGGTTTGGCCAAAGGTTGCATATTGATGTTTGCCTAAAGCTTTGTGTTCATACACACACGAGCACACACACATATATTATATATCAATGACGTGTTTCTGTGTCTGTCTGTGTAGCAGGCATGTAGCCATGTTGTAAAATAACAAATTTGAACGTTTGCTAATGTTCGGGCATTTAGCCAGGTAGCATAATTACTAATTTTAAAATCTATGAAAGGGGACCGCCCCCCCCCAAAGAAAAACCCAGTACAATAAACTGCAATGCAACAATATGGCACTGAAAAAAATGAAGACATTCTGACCTTCAAGACCTCCTAAGTAATCTATACAGGTAGAACCCAACTCCAAAGGTGTTTTTGTTTT